ATTGACTTGAATTGACTTGAATTGACTTGAATTGACTTGAATTGACTTGAATTGACTTGAATTGATTCTTGGTTCTCTCCTCGCCAACTACTCTCAACGCAGCCAGCCGTCAGTCTCCTGAGTTTGTACTTTTTTTGTAGTGTAGTTCTTAGTCGCTCTGCTGGCTACCTGCCAAGTGTAGGTCTAGCTGTACGATGAATGTGCCCTTGTAGCATGTCAGAAAGCGTACCGACTGACTATGAAAACCCCAAATTCATGACGAGTCGATGAATGAGGATTCCGTATAGACTAGGTATATAGACGGGTAGTGAGGGAGGGCTTGGCGGGACACGGCAAACCACTCAAACCGGACAAACACAAACACACTCACCCCCATCGGGGATGTTCCTTCTACGCGGTCGAGGCGGCCTTCCAATGCGCTTTCCTCAACACCTCCAAGTTTCCTGGATTTCATGCGATAATTTCATGAAGCGGCTGCCTACACTGGTGTAGGTCGCCATGCGTTGCTCGACAACGATCCAGTAAAGTGGAACCGTGCAGCATATACCTCCCACCTCTCGCAGCGTCCTCAGGCCGATCCCCAACTATTTCGCGAGTGAATAGTTTATTGAACTATTGCATCTATACCTGTGGGCTCTAACAGACCAGAGATAGCCACGACACATAGCAGGCAAACCTTGAACATACCACCAACCATGTCCGCCCGCCAACCCGCACGACCACGGCGCATTGATGACGCGCTCTCGCAGCTCGTCGACTCCCTCACCCCGCCGTTGTCGCATTCGGATCTTCGGGGCGAGTACGAAGGCGATGCGGAGGAGGCCTTGGCCGCAGCCGAAGAAAGACGACACCAAACATACCTCGAGCGCTCGTGGATCATCATCAATTCCTACACCAGCACCTCGAGCGACCTAGCATCACCGTCCGGTCCCACGACGTATGGCGTCAATCGCCGCGGAAGCTTAGCCGGAGGAGAGAATGTCAACAACGCGGTGGACCTTATCAAGCGGAAACTTCTACGTGAGAACGACAGCCCCGAACAAGCGGTTCGATTTTCCAATCTCTACTCGCGCCTGTTGACCCAGCCGGTCCTGTCTCAAAAGTGGGCGATCCTCTATCTCCTCTATCGACTCTCGAGTACGGATGACGATGAAGAGCATGGGTTTGAGGGTGGTAGCCGAAGTCCTCAGTTCGAGCCGGTGCACCTGCAAAGTCCCCTGTTCAAGAACCAGAGGATAAACCCGGGCCGCGGGCCCAGGGTATCGGAAATCTCAGACGAGGACGGGCCTGCTGCCAGCTCTTCGGCATCGCAGATCCCCGCGCGAATCGAGCGGCAAGCTGCGCTGAGACGGCAGCAAGAGATGGGACCGGAGAGGGAGCCCGAGAGGGAGCCGGAGACCTCTGCACCAGCGGCAAGATCCCGAGATGTGCGGGCCACGCGTAGTCGTGCCAATACAGGGGTACGAGATCATCCTCTCGAAGAGCCAAAAGGTGTGCAGCCGGAGGCGGACTCGGAACAGCAACCAAAATCAGATGCACCCCAGGAACCGCGACTTCTCCGTGATCTTCCTTTCAATCTGCAAGGGTTATCTTCCTCGAACTTACAATTCGAATCCTCGACGATTTTGAATCTACCTCCCTCTGTGCCGGTACCTATAATATCTCTGCTAAACTCCCTTGCCGAGCCGTGCCTGTTGTATCGCGGCGTATCGGCTTTCGTGGGGAGTCCGACAAGTGGACTCTTGAGTCAAAGCCTCCAAGCAGCCCTTGCCAACAAGCTTCAATCCTATCTGGGTCTAGTCGCTACCTTGGAAGGAGAGATTCGAAGGGCCTTGGCTGCACCACCGGACCCTAATAATCCTAGAAGCACGGCCGCCAGCGGCGTCACGCTAAAGCGATGTGTTGTCTGGACAAGGGACGCGACGATGGCGCTACGCTTGATGAACCTGATTGTCGAAGAGGCACAGCGTAAGTACTATGGCTTTCTTCATGATAGTATACCTTTCTGATATCTTGCTCGTAGACAAGAAAGGCGGCCAACTGATTTCGCTGATCCACGGTCTCTCAACCTCTCATGGAGACCCTTTCGTACGTGACTTCGCGGAAAAGCTTCTCGCCCATGTGACTCGACCCTTCTACGACATGCTGCGGTCATGGATCTATGACGGTGAGCTTTCGGATCCATACAAAGAATTTTTTGTGGTCGAGCCGGAATCCAGACCCAATGTAGATCCGCGTCGAACCGCGACTTCTGTCTGGGACGATAAGTACACGCTTGCCGAAGAAATGGTGCCATCCATCATAACACAGGACTTTGCACAGAAAATCCTCCGGATTGGCAAGTCTTTGAATTTCATTCGCTACGACTGTGGAAACTCTGGATGGGTGGAGGAATACTCTAAAGAAACCTCGAAAGAACTGCATTATGGCGATACGGCTGGTCTCGAGGCATCGATTGACGAAGCCCACAAGACAACTATGGCGCGGTTGATCTACCTCATGGACGACAAATTCAAGCTCTTTGAGCACCTTCAAGCGTTGAAGAAGTACATGCTTTTGGGCCAGGGTGATTTCATCGCCCTGTTGATGGAATCGCTGGCGTCCAATCTTGATCGTCCAGCACACTCGCAATACAGACATACTTTGACTGCGCAACTAGAACATGCAATCCGTGCTTCCAACGCGCAGTACGACTCCCCAGACGTGCTCAGACGGTTGGACGCTCGGATGTTGGAGTACAGCCATGGTGAGAGCGGCTGGGACTGTTTCACACTCGAATACAAGGTTGATGCTCCAGTCGACGTGGTCATCACACAATATGCATCGAGCCAGTACTTGAAAGTGTTCAACTTTCTGTGGCGCATCAAGCGCGTCGAGTTTGCCCTGGGAAGCACCTGGCGTCGGTGCATGACAGGTGCCCGCGGCGTGCTAGGTAGCGTCAACGATAAAGTCGGCTCAGACTGGAAGAGAGCACGGTGTGTCATCGCCGAGATGATCCATTTTGTCTGTCAGCTTCAGTTTTACATCCTCTTCGAAGTCATCGAGGCCAGCTGGGATAAACTACAAGCGTCTATCTCTAAGCCCGGCTGCACACTGGACGACCTGATCGGAGCCCACAAGGAATATCTCGAATCCATCACACGCAAGGGCCTCTTGGGCTCCCCTGCCGTACCCAAGACCACCACCACCACTCCCCAAGAAGAGGACTTCCTTAGTCAATTGCACTACATCCTCAAGGTCATGTTGGCCTACAAAGACGCCGTGGACGGCCTCTACTCCTTCTCCGTTGCCGAGTTCACGCGTAGACAAGAACTGAGCGCGAAAATCGAGACCCGCACCGCCCAAGGCCGTTGGGGCCTCACTGACAGCGACGTCCTTTCATCCTCCTCCAGACGAACCCGGGCCCATAAAGATTCGGTCTCATCCATGTCCCCATCTCTGGCAGCATTCACTCCCAATCTAGGCGCTGACGACATCGGCACTCCCTCATCGCTCGCCGACCACGGAGATCTCTCCGCAGACGATCAGATGCTCGCATCCCTACAGGCCCGTCTCCGCGACCTTTCCGCCGAGTTTCGATCCCGGCTCAACGTCTTTCTGGGCGACCTCGCATACCAGCCGGACGTGGACATGCGCTTCCTTGGCGTCGTTATGAATTTCAACGACGTCTATCAACCGGCCCGGAAACGCCGAAGCACCGGGTCCGGGAGCTCGCGTGACAAACATAGGGCGAGGCGAAGGGCGGCCGCCGCCAATGAAGCTGCTACTTCTGCGACTACTTCCACCATCGTGATGGAAGAAAGTAGACCGGCATCTGCGTCCAAGGAACCGACAGCCCGACGGGAGAGGAAAGAACCGAGAACGAGCGGCAATGGGAATGAGAGCGGGAGTGGCTGATCCTGTGCCTCTCTTCTATTCATTCTTGTCTTCTGCATTGAAATTGGTTGCGATCGACCTTCAAGGGCTAGCTAGATTTACCGGCGGCTGGGGGTGTTCTCTCGGGGTATTGTGCGTTTTCATCTCGGGATTATGGGTTCATCGTGTTCAGTGGTTGATATCATTGGGGGGTTTCGGATTTTGTTTTTGTTTTTATGAACTGGGTTGGATGACAGTGACACGGCAGCAGCAAACAAGAGCTTGTACATGTACATACACAGGTCCGTTGTAAGCTTCATGATGATGACGACGATGATTGCGGTGTTCCAAGAGACAGACAATTAACTTCAGTATAAACTGAGATAAGTCATCGAGATCAATCGCTGTACTGTACAACACAGTACGAGACAATCCCAACAACCCACAGCATTGAAAAGCAACCCTTATCATGGAATATAACCAACAAGAAGCCTATTCGTATACTGGAGCCATTCAATCCTGCCCTGTAGCCACGAAGCCTACCACCTAAGTTACCTAATAGCCCGCCAGGGGGGATGGGGTGGGCAGAACCCCATCGGAGTAACTACGCAGTCCTCACGTGAAAATTTCCCTCCGTTCCCCGTTCCACCGCCCCTCCAAAAAAGTTTCCAACGCAAACAACAACTTCAGTTCACCCTCAACGATCCCAACCTGCCCACCTCCGATTTTGGGTGGTGATTTGCTTTGATCGGAATTTTGAGGGCTACGCGACACGGATCCTTGTGCTGGGGAAGTTCGAAATTACGGGACTTTATCGTTAAAGATAACTGGTTGCGGCTTTCCGTCTTCATTTCAAGGAATTGAGGATCGAGGGTTAGGATTAGGATTGGGACGGAAGATCGCTATGGCTGCTTCTGAATTGGCTGTTGCGAAGAAGAAGGAGGGGAAGGACAAGGTCAAGGAGGTGAAGGATAAGGAAGAGAAGAAGGAGAAGAAGAAGGACAAGAAATCCAAGAAGGAAAAGGAGGACAAGGACGAAAAGAAGGAGAAGAAGAAGGAGAAGGAGAAGAAGGACAAGAAGTCCACGAAGGCCACGAAAACCAGCACGGACGAGCGCGACGACTCCGTGAGCGAGAAAGCCGACACGAAAAAGCAATCGAAGAAACGACGTCTGGAAGAAGGTGATGATGACGACGACAACGAGGCGAATGCTACCACCAAGGGCAAATCGGCTGCGGATGAAGAGCGGAAACAGAAGAAACAGAAGAAGAGGGTCTCGTTCTCGGCGGACGTGAAGTTGGAGGATGGCAGCGGAGACTCCGAGGCGGAGGATATGGAGGTCGATGAATCGGAACAACAACAGCAGCAGCAGCAGCAACAGCAGTTAGAGGCAAACGGCGCTGCGGAGGAGATGGATTATGAAGGAGATGGGGAGGAGAAGAAGAAAAAGAAGAAGGAAAAGAAGAAGAAGAACAAGGACAAGGATCACAAATCCGCCGCTACGGCTGCTGACGCCAAAATCCACGAGACGCCCATCCTCTCCTACCTCAGTCTTTATCACAACCACCGGTCGGCGTGGAAGTTTCAAAAGAACCGCGAGACGCACCTGTTCAAGCATGTGCTGTCGCTGGAGCAGGTCCCCGCGCAGTATAATGCGGCGCTCTTGGCGTATCTGCAGGGGTTGAAGAGTGAGGGTGCCAAGCTGCGCTTGAAGGAGATTGCGGAAGAGGTTGTCAAGGCCGATGTGGAGGTGGAGGAGCAGGAAGAGGAGGAAAAGAAGAACAAGTCGACGACGACGACGACGACGACGACGCAAGCTGAGGAGGATAAGACGAAAGGAGCTGAGGAGAGCACTGATGTGGCTCCTGAGCCTAGTTACAAAAAGGCCGTCGCCTCGTTCCGGACGCTTCTGTCGGAGGGCAAAGAGAACCTTGAAGGTCTGGAAGGCACCGAGGGCCTTGACGCTACGCAACTACAGAGGCTGCAGAAGAGACAGCGCGCTGAGCTCATCCTCTGGGCTGTCACCGGTGCCCTGTTCAATCTCGAGAAGCCCAAGCTTCCCCCACGGATGGCGAAGAAGAACCAAACGCCGGCCAAAAAGAAGAAGAAGAACAGAACCGCTATCATCGAGATCTCCAGCAGCAGCGAGAGCGACAGCGACAGTGACAGTGACAGCGACAACGATGACAAGAAAAAGACCAAGAGTCCGGCCAAGAAAGATTCATCCTCGGACGTGAGCAGCAGCAGCAGCAGCAGTGATAGTGATAGTGATTAGTCACTTGATGCTGCATGTTGTTGTTGTTCAACCTGAATTGTACAGACTGGTCTCTGTGCTTCGCTGCTTCATGTGCATGACAATTCAATTCCGTCCACATCTGGTGGCTATCATAGCTCTATAATTTTGAGCTCAAAAGTTCTAGATACCTGGTTCAACCATACAAAAGCGGTCTTTTGTCGGATCTACGGTGTTGTGTTTCTTCTTTTGTGATGTATTGTTAGTATAGACTTTCCGTATATACCTAGAAGCCTTCATATGAAAGAGCTGAAATACTTGATATCAAGCCTGTATATTTCGAAAGCATTATAGTATCGCTGCTGTGTGGTTGCTGGGAGGCAATGTACTGTCCTTCGTATTGGTGGCAGAGCGAATTGACAGAGACGGGGAAGGCGGTGACTGGAGCTTACTCAACGGAGCCCCGAAGCTTAGAGCTTCGGCCAGGCACCCTCTGGCACGCGTCCTCTGCCTCCATCCTCATCCTCCCTCCCCTCAATCCTTCCCCATTACACATCTTAATCTCTCTTTGCTCTCAATCCTTCCACTCGATCGGCTCTGAATATCTAATCTGTGATTTACATATACCGCCGCAGCCATGTCTGGTAAAAACAGATCCCTTCCGATTGTGCTGGCTCGAATGACTTCATCGATTGACTGACAGCTTTTGTGAACAGGAAGCGCCTACGATCGACACATTACCATCTTCTCAGACCAGGGTCGTCTGTATCAAGTTGGTAAGTCTATCGCCCGTTATGAACCCTCCCCCTCCGGCCCACCCCGATGGCGCTCCAACGGTCACCGAGAACACTTGACTTACCATCGACCTCCGTCGGCGCTTAGAATATGCCTTCAAGGCCATCACCTCCGCAAACATCACCTCATTAGGTGTCAGGGGGAAGAACTGCGCCGTCGTTCTGTCCCAGAAGAAGGTCGCTGTAAGTTTCCATGGTGGGGCTGAGAACGCAAGCACAGCATGGCCTGACATATGTCCTAGGATAAATTGATCGACCCCTCCTCCGTTTCGCATATCTTCAAGCTTTCCCCTTCCGTCGGATGTGTTATGACCGGCTCCATCGCCGATGCCAGAGCGAGTGTTGACCGTGCCCGTGGAGAGGCGGCCGAGTTCCGATACAAGTACGGCTACGAGATGCCCTGTGATGTCCTTGCCAAGCGCCTTGCGAATATTAACCAGGTCTACACGCAACGGGTTCGTGCTTTGCTCGTCTCACTCTGGGGTTGTGGGAGCGACGTTTACTGATACCAATCATCTGCTTAGGCTTACATGCGCCCGCTCGGCGTCGCCATGACCCTGATTTCCGTGGACGATGAGAAGGGGCCCCAACTCTACAAGTGCGACCCGGCAGGATACTATGTCGGGTACAAGGCGACCGCATCCGGCCCCAAGCAGCAGGAGGCGCTGAATCACCTGGAGAAGAAGCTGAAGAACAAGGACTATGCCGAGGGCAGCTGGGAGGAGGTGGTCGAGCTGGGCATCACCGCCTTGAGCAATGTGTTGAGCGTCGACTTCAAGAAGCATGAGCTCGAGATCGGCATTGTCGGAGGGCCTCGGGCTGACGGCAAAGAGGGCACAGATCCAAGCTTCCGTGCCTTGACAGAGGACGAGATTGACGAGCGGCTGCAGGCCATTAGCGAGAAGGACTAATTGAGTTGAGGAAGCAAGCATCCATTGTTGTTAGAGACAAACGATCCATGAATACTACTTTTTGTGACGCTACTATTGGAACTTGATTAGCCAACCCCCGATCTGGTAGATGTGTTCCCTAGGTCTTTCCTCTTGACTTGTCAACTGCCGATCGATCACAAAACTTGGACAGACGTCCGTGCAGGCGCTTACTCGGAGTCGGAGATGGCGAAGCTAGAGGTCCCACTTGTTTCTTCAGACGGTGGCGATTTGAAAGCAGGGGTCAGAGTCAATGTAATAGACCTGAGGCCCTTGCTGCAAGATGACAGGCTTGATGAAATATCGAAGAGCAGACGACAGCGGCCCCGCTGCGGGAGTTGATTACAAGTAGCATCACATTGGGGCATGGAGTAAGAATCGCGTGGAATGCAGGTGTTGTAAGTGAGGTGGCCGACGCTCGAGCTTACATGAAAGCTCTTGTGCCTTGGATGTTTTTGCCACCGAGAACGATTTCTGCATGGGGAGTCGGAGAATCTACTCGTATTATGTTTGGATTGAACTGAAGATAGTCGAGTTGAGACCGAGCCTGAGGCTGGCGCGTGGGTTTGCTTTTCCTCTTTCAGCTCTTGCCCGGTGTGTGTGGCTGAGCTGGAGATGTGGCTTGCCCCTTGAGTTTTCACTCTCTGTGTTTCTCTCTCTATCACGCACATTTGTTGTCTGGCAAGTCTATTATTATTGTTGTTGTCACTATTCCGTATAGTGCATACATGTTGACTCCGTCACCGGCGCCAACGGTTGTCGGTGGCTGATATCTTGTCCTGAGCCATTGCTGCTCCAGCCACTTATCCCATCTTAACCATATCTCCGAGTGTGATGACTCCGACTGGGTCTGTACTACTGGAAGTGTGGCGTAAGGAAGCGAGGACTCTCCAGCTGGAGTCTCTTTCACCACCGTTTCACTAGTCAACATGCCACGATGACGCTTTCCCCACCGAGTCAGTGTATCTGTGCACATTGCACAAATCTGACTGCACGGGTTGTTACCGAGATCTAGTGTCTTGTCTACCTACACCCGGTAACCCATTGATATTATTGTGTTTCTGTCATACTAAATTCTTCGCTCGGCCACAACAAACAAGTGGGGTAGAATCCGGGTTCTGCAGTATTCTTTTCTACAATTCCATCTTCATTTTTATCTTTGGAAATCAGGTTCCATCTAGCTAATTGGGCCTCAATTCAAATTCCACTATCGGTTTTTCATGTGGATATTGCCGATTTCTTGCTTCTGGGTCGGATGTATCCTTTCTTTTTCTTCCCCCCCCCCCCAAAAGTACGGAGTATGCATGATCTTATGCAAGCCCCATCAGCCTAGGGCTGGGTTCCTGTTCCAGGGTCAGCTGCATAGTCCTCACGCTTAGACTAGATATCAGCCCTCGCTCCAAATCGGAGACCCAGACATTGCAAGCGCTTCCGACACATGGCTCTCATGGGCTTGGCTCCTGCCGGTGCTCCACTATGGCTGTTGTTCTCCAGCTGCCATCTCTCGCCGCGATGTCTTGTCCTTGCTCCATCGGCTTCCCAATGCGTGCAGCCAGCCACGGTGGGTGGATGACGATGATGATGATTCCCTTTCCAGCGCAATCCCCCCATTGCGACGTTGAAACCATGGTGAGGATAATAAGCTTAAAAGGATATCGCCTCCTCAGCCATGGGACTTTAGAATCTGAAACCAACGCTCTTCTTCCTTTGGGCCCAACGACCTCTTCGCCTCGAGCTCTCAGTCAATTGGCTTGCTCCTTTCTTTTGGCCTTCTTCCTGCCAGGCGTCCAACTGTGGCCGTATCCACTTGGTTCCTTTAGTCTTTTGAAGATCCAATCGTTTGCCATTCCTTGGCTACTATATCGCAAACACCACTACTGCCATGGCTGACGGACGTACGTGTTGCCATCGTTCCATGCGTGGAAGGAACAACACCATTCAAGAAGAAGAAGAGAGGCTAACCAATCCGGGTGTCGCAGTCAACCAAGCTCGCGCCCTCCGAGTGGCAGAGCTCATCAACGACTACCGGACTCTTCTCATGCACATCTCCCAACAGAATGTCCAAGCCCCGGCAGATGAGTTCAACGAAGAGGGGTATAAAGTGATTCGAGACGGTCTGGCTGCTGCGCAGGCTTTGATGTCATCCAACTACAACCCTTGCGCGACGCCAGCCCATGCCGGCAACGTCGAGGTCGAGAAGGCGGAATTGCGCAGGTATGCAGATATATCATTTCTCCCCTTCTTTCAGGAGCCTAGCCAAGCTCTAACATCACTTTCAGAGTCATCCTTGACGCTAGCGCCAGACGATTCCAGGCGCATCGCATCTACTTGAAGGTCGCGGCCGCCAGACGATGGGTCATCAACCGCCAAAACATTCTGCGTGGACAGCGGCCGGGACCGCAGCACGCGGCTCAGTTGAAGAACGCCAGCAATACGTTCCATGCGGTGAGTTTCCTTTTTCAATCTTGATGCAATTCAGGGTAGTATTCAGTCTGACTGACCATCGTTGCGCACAGGAACTGGCTCAAGTGACCGAACAGCACGTGGTGGCTGATCTCCGGGCAGCCGACACGCGGGCAGGTCATTGGCTCAACGACGACCCTTCTCTGCCTACAATCCTTCAATGGATTCGGTCTCACCCATGAGATTTTTTTACGTCAAAGCCTGCGACAGAGCAGCGAGTTTGAGTGGTGTATGGATACGATGATGCCGTTAATCACGGGACTACAGTACCGGTTGGAAAGCGTCCACTGGATGCATGTTTGTCTATTGTTGCTCGGCGCTGGTCGCTTGCAATCGATGGGTTTCGAGAAGGAAAAGCTGTCTTGTGTGGAATGTTTGGGTTTACCCTTTTTTTCGTGGTTTTCAGTTTTTTTCTTGTCGTGTTTTGAGTATGTGTTGACGGTTTATGATATCCCTGGATGTGATGCTTTACGCTAGACGTGAATTGATTGGATGGATGTGTTTTCAACTCGATGTCTCCGTACTCGGACTATATTGCATAACTTCTTTTCTGTTTCTATTCTTTCTGCTTGGAGTATATCTTCCTACTCAAGATCGAGTCTGACTCGTCTCGTTTCTTTCCTGAATAAGCTGGTGAATATGCTGAGCCTATAGTGAGTGCCCTACATAGTTAGATGGTGACATCGTTTACTATACATTTTCCAACCGACGGCAAACTCCGTTTCGCTTCAGTGGGTCCGGCGGTTAGAAGTGGAGACGGGTAGGGAAACACCATGTCTGACTGTCTTTTTGTTTAGGAATGGGACACTACACCCGCAGCGGATGTACATACAGTGCAACTCAAGCGGCATCATGAGAGCATCAAATCCATCATCTACCGTGGGTACCTTCGTACCTGGTACATTACAGAGCCTGAAACAAGCAACCGGCCAAATATCTTGCTAATGGCCAATCCAATTTGCGGATTCAAACGATTCCGATCGGAAAAAATCTCTGGGCGAACATCAGAGCTGGACAGTGGGGTTGGTGTTTTACCATTGACTGTATGTACAGTACTATCTGTAAAGCTCCTCTGCTGGAGATACCGAACGTGCATTTAGAACCGTGGAGTCGGAGATTACCTTAAGACGAACATCCCAGCTGAATACTTACCTGATCCTTGAGTCAGAGTCGACAACCCCCACAGAAGAAAGGGCTGAGAATGGGGGGGAACTCACCCGTGTGCCGCTGCCGTTTTCTACAAAGATTTTTTTTTTAGCACGGGAATGATGCATGGTGCGTTGTTCTTTATTTTTGTTTTTTCACTCTGATTGGATTTTGGGAGGGGATGCCAGCCGATGTGTGGCCGTGCAAATTGAGAAAAATAGATTACTGGATGGATGCTGATTGCTGAAGGAATGGAGGTTAATATTGATGTGGCCAATTGGATGGGGATGGGTGGGGGTGGATGGACACTGCTGGGCTGCGGGCAGGTGGAGGGTTCAGCTGAGGTCGTACGGAGTACTTGTGAGGGAGAGATCCACTTATTCCCGTCCCGTTGCTTTGCTTGTTGTATGTTGTGTGTATCCATGATGTAGCGGATTACAGCTGGGATGGGGTTGGGGCTATCGGTCGGTGGGAATTGGAGGGGCAGAATTTGCGAAGACGTTGTCAGGGCGTTAGTGTTTTCGTGATATGGGAGTATCTGATATGAGTACAGTACTACCAGGTCAGGTTGGGGTGGCCACGAGGGTAGGGTGTGGCAGCCACGTTGTTTCCTGTCCATGGTCACTGGTCACTGGTCACTATTTCTGTACTCGACCATTCTGCTGTCGGTAATTTCTTCCTGATGCCCTCATGCAAGGAACCCCTGTTGTTTGCTTCAATGCATGATGCACCTTGCACTGCTGCTGAGATCGATCTCTTCATTCCCAGATAGGCATCATGCACAGGGGGCTGGTCTCTTTATATTCAACCGGGAGGCGAAAAGTGAGCGCGAGTCGGGGGACGGACTACGTCTTTGAGCAGGTACGAATATCTCTCTTTCTGGAGTCGGTTTGTGAGTGGCGACTCGCGAGGGATGTTACCTTTATTGGGGTTTGGCCACTGTGTTTCTAATCTGGTCATTGGGATACAGAATGCTAGTGTGTCACCGGATTAGTCCTCGAAGTTGAATGACCCTCGGTTTTTGGGAATTTGAATGGGGAAGTCTGTTTGTCTGGGAGCCAAATATCAGGTTTGGCATTCATGTGGGCCTTCGTCCACGCCGGTTCGTCGCCGTCGGTGTATCGTATGGGATATATCCAAGTCGGAATGTGGATGTCGAAGCCTGAGGCAGGCGGAGGACGGATCAAGTGCTGCCCTCGCTTCGTGAGCATGCCACGGATACACTCTCACTGGTAATTCCTATCAAATCATACGGTATCGACTCAGTCACTGAAGAGAAGTGAGGTATGGACTTGGGATCGAATCAACAGTCCCAAGAATAGAAGTGTCTATCCGGCGGCGGTGCAACTGTGGCTAGGTAGGTGGAGCAAAGTGGCTTGCCTGCGCCGGCTTATGTAAATGCGCTGGCGGATCGGGTGACGACATGAATCCGAAGCTAACTAAAAGTAAACAAAATAATAAGCATGAATGTGCAGGGCCCATCGATAAGCTCTTCTTGGAAACGCCCGCAATAAATGAATCATATCCTCAAACTAGACTCTTCAAGGGTCCTTATGCCTCGATCATGCTGTATAACTGTGGCTGCAGTCATGCCCTGTATGACTCTGCCATGCTGCCAAGTGTGACGGATGCACTGTCTGAAGAAGATGCAATACTGCAATCCCCGCGTGGTCGACTTTGAGTTTCGCACCCCTGGTTGTTATCACGAATAAGCGTATCTAGCCGAGGGCCAGATTTCTTCACAGAGTCTCAAGTGACGGGGATCAAAAGGGTTATCCGTCATGCGAACCCGGACCTAGGCTCGATCCTCGAGGGGAAGACTCCCAATCTGATAGTCCGAGGCTCGGGGTCTTGAGCCGCCTGCCCAAGTATGGACCGAATGAGCTGAGCATCATGATCCAGACGCATGACGGCGATCAAAGAAATTCGGAGTCGTTGAGGGGCGAATCATGGGAGTCAAGGTTGCAGCATCTCATCACCGGGGACGGGGCAGGTAGCATTAAGGTAGTGGAATCTCAAACCTAGAATCCTTTAGTGAACCTTGGGATGGTCTTCGGGCCTGTGTGGCATGACTTATTGGTAGGTAGGGTAGGTAGAGTAAAGTAAGTTGGTTACTAACCGTCCAACTAAACCGCCAGGCCAAGGCGTCCGCAGCGGGATCATCCCCGGAGGCTGCCAGAACTCACGATCCACCAACGTCACACTTGATGGTAGAACGCCTTAACTGCTTACCCCCGGGAGGCTACAACAAACGACCATCTAATTGGCAAGGTTACATTTCACGCACTATTTAAGAGTTGGACTCGTCCTGCAGATTATGGCCTTCTCTGCATCCATTCATTTCCTGGTTATCCTAACCATTGTGCTCATCTTCTCGTTCCGATACTTCGGCGACAATCAGACAGTACTTCCGCTGCATCATAACTCCACAAGTACTCTTGTAGATACTATAACACCAGCTATGTCTTCCGGGCTCAAGTCGGTGGCGTACTTCGTCAACTGGGTAAGATTGCTGCCTATCTCAATATGGGATGTACTCTCGATGCTGATCCATCCTCAGGCGATCTACGGACGCAACTACAACCCCCAGGATATCCCCGCGGACAAGTTGACCCATATACTCTATGCCTTTGCCAATGTTCGCCCTGAAACTGGCGAAGTGTGAGTCGCCAACTGTTATTTATCTTTCCCACTTCCTCCGCTACAACCACCCCGCTGACATATGCATCAGGTACCTTTCCGACACCTGGTCGGACATTGAGAAGCACTATCCCACTGATTCGTGGAACGACGTCGGCACCAACGTCTATGGTTGCGTCAAGCAGCTGTTCCTGCTCAAGCAGCAGAACCGCAAGCTGAAGGTGCTATTGTCCATTGGTGGATGGACTTATTCGTCCAACTTCCCTGGCGCAGCCGCCTCGGATGCTAACCGGGCCAACTTCGCTACGACGGCCACCAAGTTGGTCACAGACCTTGGATTTGATGGTATCCAGCCTCTCTCATCTTCCTGGTTGCATGGCAGAGTTACTAATGACATGTTTTGCAGGTATCGATATTGATTGGGAGTACCCAAAAGGTTGGTTTCGATGCTCCTGACACGGGCAAGGTATAGTGCTGATACACAGGTAGACGATACCGAGGCCCAGAACATGGTCTTGCTCCTTCAGAAATGCCGTGAGGTTAGTGCACCGCTTCAAGGGACGAATGATGTATGCTAACTGCCCTAGACGCTGGACAACGCCGCAGGTGCCAGCAGAAAGTTCTACCTGACCATCGCTTGCCCTGCTGGTAAGTACTAACCATAACCATAGTCCCGGGATGAAGCTAGTCTCCGATATCTGACTCTCTACAGGACCGGACAACTACACCAAGCTCAAGCTGTCCCAGATGACGCCGTATCTGGATTTCTACAACCTGATGGCGTACGACTACGCCGGGAGCTGGAACACCGTCGCGGGCCACCAAGCCAATATATATCCTTCCTCTGACAAGCCCGCGTCGACCCCCTTCTCGACCAATGAGGCCGTGAACTATTACACCCAAGTCGGCGGCGTGCCATCGGCAAAATTGGTGCTGGGAATGCCCCTATATGGGCGTGCCTTCACCAATACCGACGGACCCGGCACCGCCTTCTCAGGCGTCGGAGGAGGAAGCTGGGAGAATGGTGTCTGGGACTACAAAGCGCTGCCCCAGGCTGGTGCCACTGAGAATGTGGATGCCAACATTGGCGCGTCTTGGAGCTACAGTTCTAGCGCTCGCACCATGATCTCGTACGACACCGTCGCCGTGGGAGAGCAGAAGTTGAATTATATCAACCAGAAGCAGCTCGGCGGTGGGATGTGGTGGGAGCTTAGCGGGGATAAGGGAGGTAAGACTGCGAACAAGTCGGACGGCAGCTTGATCGGAACGTTTGTCGAGGGGGTGGGCGGGCTCTCGTCCTTGGACCAGTCGCAGAACGCACTGTCCTACCCGGAGAGCAAGTACGACAACCTGAAGAAAGGTTTCCAGTGAAGCCCCGTACAGATGCACCATATGACAAGGATATGGTGCCCAGTTTGACTTGCTTTTTTGGACATATACACGAGTTCTACATAGTCTTAAGGATTACATAGCTTAGATGGGTTTTTTTTTTCGAAATTTTTTTTTTCAATTTGATTTGTCTCAAGGTCACTATGGAACGATCAGAACGCACACGTCCCATACACCTCACATATCCAACCCTGCAACCTTCACTGTCCTAGTTCCACGGGGAAAATCGAAGCACATCCAGCTGGAGCGAAAGATAGGCGACTTGTCAAAGGCCAATTTACTTGGACTCGTCGAAGACGTAGGTGAGGTGGCACTTGCCGCAGTACTGGCGGTTGTGCATGGCAGCCATGAAGATACCGGCACCGCACTGTGTTGGAGGAACAAAATTAGTCAACTGGGTCGAAGAGTGATAGGAAAAGATGGGCAAACATACCTCGGGGGAGGGGCACTCGCGGCGAAGACGCTCGATCTTGCCATCACCGTCGACCTTGTAGTACTTGAGGACGGCGAGCTTGGTCTTCTTGTGCTTGTGCTTGATCTTCTTGGGGGTGGTGTAGACCTTCTTCTTGCGCTTCTTACCACCACCACGGAGGCGGAGCACGAGGTGGAGGGTGGACTCCTTCTGGATGTTGTAGTCCGAAAGAGTACGGCCGTCCTCGAGCTGCTTACCAGCGAAGATCAGACGCTGCTGGTCCGGGGGGATACCCTCCTTGTCTAGATTGGGGAGATTTGTTAGTGGATGTTGTCCTTCAAGAAGGGATTGCGCATTTTTTTCTTGCCGGACGGACTCACCCTGGATCTTGGACTTGACATTGTCAATGGTGTCGGAGGACTCCACCTCAAGGGTGATAGTCTTACCCGTAAGGGTCTTGACGAAGATCTGCATCTTGATGAAGGTCTGATAGCAAGGGCGACAGTTAGTTCTTGTGCCTCGTTTGGGGATGGCCTCTGCGAAAAGAGATTTTTCCAGAAAAAGTTCATCCCCTCATCATCATGCAGGCTTCTTTTTTCGTCTCCCGAATCATCTCACACAGAAACCAGGTTTGCACAGTGCGAGATGAAACGAAGGGGATACAGAAAGGGGGCATGGATGAGGATGAACATCCTGTAATCGCCTCTCTCTCAAGGCAAGTGTAGGGGGCGTTCAACTAACCTCGACAAGACTTGTCTTCCTAAACCTTCAGTGACGATCGTGAAGGAGAAATATCTATGGTGGAGGCCGTTCGTTAAAATCGGTTGTGCGATCACGTGGACTGGAGTTGCCTGTTCGAGGTTAGTGCTCCTGTAATCGGATAATCCGCCCTCCGGGTACTCACAGTCAGGTGACCAGGACTACTATCATGTGACTATCCTCGATCCCCAGCCTCTCTCTCCAGGCTCTGCGTCATTGCTGCCTGAAAGGTCCGGCGCCCAGTCCGCTGGGGGCATCTTCCCGTCGGCAAAAGCCCCGGAAACGATATCCAGCTTATCCAGCTTATCCACTCCACTCAGTTTCGAAGCACAAATGATATCGTCATCACCGTCAGCATTCCCTCTTTCCTTCCCCCCCCCCACTCACCCTGCCTCAGCTGCAAGATTACTCATGATCATTCAAAGCGCAGGAGGATTGGCGTCAATTATTTGAAGAACTATTGCAGAGATAGGGAGCGTCAATGAAGTACTCAGTAATAACGTTTCGAACCCTCACTGCCCACAGGCGGCTTCGATCCGCGACAGGATGGAACTGCCATCGGGAGCTGAACCGCGGTGCAGCCGGCGTCTGGAACTCTGGATCGCGCAGGGGAACACACCCAGGATCACAGATAAAACCGGCTCCTTGCAGGGCCCGATCAACTTACGGCCTAAAGATGCTAAAAGTGCTAAAAGTGCGTTCGGACCAGGGCGCGATCCACTGCACTGGCGGGCTTCCATGCCAAGGGGCGCTGGTTGTCCTGACGCCTCAACCCAGCCGCGTTGCTACGCCAACGCCGCCATTTGTTGATCTGAACCGTGGTCGGTGGATCGGGATAGCTTCATCATCTCCATCCACCTACCTTGGTTCCCACCTCTAAATACCCTTAGACATCCTTTGTCTTGTCTCTCCCCCAGCCTTCCTGCCTCCGTTAGCCCCGGGGCTTCAAGACCGTTTCGCAATCGCGACAGGAAAGCTCTAGAACCTACAAAAAAAAAGAAGGCTGCTTCGGCTGCATCTTCCACTGCATTGACGATCTAGAAGGACCACCGCCAAAACCCACTTTGCATAGATCAGACGCACAGTCTACTTTGATACTTTGAAACTCTCTCTGTCTCTTCCATCTGTCCTGCCCTAGCTTAAACACCTAGACTTCTGCGCGCGTGAGTTCCTTTCTACAAGAGATCACCGACTGACACAATTCCAGGGCGGTTTACTACCATCTGCTTGGCCCAGCCTTCTGGCTAGCGCTGCGAAGAGGTTGGTACTCCTATGCTGAATGATGTTTTTATGGCTCGCGCATCAGCTTTGATCCAGCAGGCTTACACCTTTATAACCTGCAGAAGAAGTCGGTCAAGTCATCGGCTCAACAATTGCGACCAGCGCGCGAAGATTCCAGTTCTTTCCCCATCATGCTGTCTGCACCGCACAGCAACTATCAAGAACGACATCGTCAACATCGGAGACAGATCTCAACGCCATCCGCTCTTGATGCCGTTAAACCTCCAACTCTTCCCGCACAGGCAATGCACCGATTTCACGCTCATCGCCGAGGCCAAAGCTTCGATGCGCGCGCTATGCGCGTTCAGCGATCGCAGTCCATGCAAGATGGTACCATCACTACTAACGTAACAGTACCGCAACCGCACCCAACCATGTTGGCACCCGCTCAAGACCACCGCTTTCTCCAAGTCGCGCAGCCAACTTTCCCCCAGCATCCAGCGCCCATGCCCATGATGGCTGAATGCCAGGCTTTTCCTCAAGAAGACTTGCAATCCTTCGCCGCTCGTCAAAGCCAAGGAGGCCAACCAAACATGCCTTACATGAACGCAAACTTTATCAAGGTCGAAAGCCAACCAATGAACATGTCGCTCAACCTCATGCAACAGCAGCAGCAGCTCCAGGATGCGAAGCTGTCTTGTCAAGCGTCCTTGGAGGGCCAAATCTTGGACAATGGAGCTTGGGATGTCTACCAACAGAACAATATCGCTGCAGCATTCCAGCAGCAACAAGCTAATGCGATGGTATTGGACGCAAGACGACTATCGGCGGCACCTGCCATCAATCAGCCGCACCCAGTGCATGCGCCAAAGCTTAGCAACGGACGTAAGTCCCCGAAGATATTTGTCCGTCTCGATATGGCTCGAGGCTCTGACTAGTCGTGCAGAATATGCCCAGATCACACCTGCGGCCACCCCCTTCAAGCAAACAGTGGGCCTTGCGCACTACAATCCGGACATTCAACCTTCCCCAACTAAGGAGCAAAGCCTCTCCGTGTCCGGTTCCGCGCAGGCGTCGTACATGCAGCGCGCGAAGTCTCTCCAAGGAGTAGTCGGAACTACGTTCTCCCAGCAGAAGTTTAACATGCCCTCTCCCCCTACTACAGCATCTTTTGAAGTGGATACCTTTGATACTTTTGACTATGAGCAGGGTTCTAACATCGAAGTTCCTAAGTCTGAGAGTCTGTCGCAAGGGCCGTTTGCCTCGTTGTCATCAGCCTCGTCGTCCTTCGCCTCGTCACCAGAGCTCGCCGCCATGCCATGTCCTGAGGATGGCAGCGGAAAGGCACAGAAGCTCCCGATCTATCCTGCGACCCCCAGCCGTGTGAATCACCGGAAGACCCCGAGCGCAACCCCTAGCACCGCAGCCAAGCCAAAGCTCTCGCCGCGGGTCGCAACTATCGATAGTCTCAACCTAGACGCTCGCGTACAGGCATCAATCAAAGAAACCGGTGTCACCATCGATGAGATTGCGTCTTATATCCACGGCCCGGACCCTGAAGACGGCAAATGGGTATGCTTGCACCCGGGGTGCGGACGTCGCTTCGGCCGCAAAGAGAACATCAAATCGCATGTGCAAACCCACCTCGGGGATCGGCAATACAAATGCGACCACTGCAACAAGTGCTTTGTCCGTGGTCACGATCTCAAACGGCATGCGAAGATTCACACCGGCGACAAGCCCTACGAATGCCTGTGCGGTAATGTGTTCGCGAGACACGATGCGTTGACGCGACACCGACAGCGTGGTATGTGCATTGGTGGCTACAAGGGCATCGTGCGCAAGACTACGAAGCGTGGTCGTCCCAAGAAACATCGGCCCGAGATGGATGAGAGACAGGACAAAGCAGCCCGAACCCGTCAGCGTATGGCCGAAAAGGGGTCTTTTGATTCCTCTGCTTCCGACTCCTCGCGCAGCACCCCTCCGTCTGATGTCTTCGAAAGTATGAGCCTTCACGGGTCGAGCCCCTCGGAGGAAATGCCGGTTTTCAACAACCCTAACTACTCACTGCCTCCGGAAGTATTCACCTTCACACCGCCCGCGTCTCCAGGCCACAGCACCGGGAACAAGCCGTCTCCGGCCCAAAGCCACCGATCGCTAAGCCCTACCACCGAGGACGAAATGCTGCCTTCGCCGATCAAGCAACCCCTGCACCGATTGATGTCCGACTCCAGCCTTCCCTACCTGTCGGATCCCGAGTCGTGTACCTACACCGATGGCTCCGGCTCAGTCACCAATGGTCTCTCTTCCCCGCATTCCGCCCCAACTCTGACCGATTCGTCCGCTGGCTCCGAGCTTGATATCTTCATGAGTCAAGAATCGACTGCGACGTTCGCTAAGCAAGGATTCAGTGACCTGACTGAAACAGACATGGCCGCCTTCCCCGATTACGTGAACACGGCGACCTTCGAGACCGGAATGGACCTCTTCCCCGCGAAAGGCTATCCTTCGGGGCCTGCCATGGGTGACGATTTCTTCTTCCAGTTCCAAGTGGACGAGCAAACCGCCGACGCCGTGACCAAGGAATTCT